TGTACTAATTATTGGTTGAACTGTTTGTCGACTCCACGTTCTCGGGTCACTTAATATAGTCTTTGTGATATAAAGTTTGGTTTAACAGAGTTAATTTAGGGGTGGTAATTTGTGTTCGTGAGTTGTAATCGTGTCATGTTGATGTAAGAGTATTTTACTAAACAGTTCAACCCGAATACGACACGTTTAATAATCGTGTTAGGAATCCTCAACACTAATCCGACTTGTTTATTAAACGGGTTATAAAGGTATAACCCGCTTGATAATCTGTTTAATAAAATCAAATATTTTATTATTTAAATTATTAATAATACTCGATTAAACATTAAAAACTAGAGAAATATAAGATTCAATCCAACCAAATTACTAAATAATCTATAATTTACAAAAAAATAAATTATAAGATGCAAGTTTATATAGTTATTTTGGAACTTAAATACAAATTTACTTATGACACGTATAGTTAAACGGGTTATACGGATTGAACTCCTCAACCCAAACACGATACGATTAGTTAAACGGGTTAAGCATGTTAACTCGTTTACGATCTAAATTCGTTTAAGATCAATTCAAACCCGTTTAACTCGTGTCATGTTCGAGTTGTATTAGCGGATCGTTTCAAACTTTGCCACTCCTGGCATGATTGCATCCGATGCATAAACAATTTTATTTTGAGAAAATAATTTGAGAAATTTAGGGTGGGACTTATATATATATTGTTTCACTCCCTATTTCCGCTATTGTTCATCAACCAGACATCAAAAAGTCCATTAATCGGTACAATCATAGAGTACCAAAGACTCCACGTCCACTCCAAAGGTGAAATTGTATCATCTCCCAACAACCCACCCATTCTCACAATTGGAATGTGGAATAGAGTCCAAATTAGGGCTAAATTAGGATTTTTGGTGCCTTAATTTTGACTTAGGCCAACATTAAAAGATCATAATCTCTCAATAAAATCAATCAAATGGTTGAAAACATCAAATTGGATTATAATTCATCCAAGTATGTTTACTAATTGTCCTCAAATAATACTACATAAATGGGTGATTGAGTTCCTTAGAAAAATTCCCATCTTTATAATTATCTTTTAAAGTAAATAATTAGGACAACCATATTTAGTTTTTTTTTTTTTTTTTTGATAAGTAACAACCATATATAGTAATCATTATTATTATTATTATTATACATATTCAAAAATAGTGGTGTCAAATCTCTTACAACATTTCATAATTTAGCATCAATTATTGAAAAAAATTCCGCCTACAGAAAAATTGACTTTTAAACCTTAGAACCCACATCCTCAACCATAATCTCTATTGGTGTTGTGTTTTACACATTTCAGTACATTACATCTATTTTTTAACGCAATAATTATTAACATGCTACATTTATTTTTCAGCACATTATATCTAATTGATATAAATGCATTGAAAATATAGATATAATGGTGTCTAAATCCCTACGGCACCATTGCAGCACCAAAAATCACAACACAGAATTTGAGTGCAAGAACTTGACTTGTTTGACTACTGGATGGTTAGTGTTGTCATTTCAAGGGGATGGATCTCAGGTGTACATATGGTCAAATTTTCATCATGTTATTTGAAACGTACATGACACGTTATTATAAGAAGTTCAATAGCATGTAACATACTAATAAAATTTGATTAAACTAATGTTACCATTTTTAGTTTATCAAATAATTTGAATTGTCACAAAATAAATGTTCAAACATGTCTCATTTATAATTAATCAATAGGATTACTAGTACTAGCTATCTGATTTTCAGTTTCATCATGTTTTAAATGCTAGCATTTCAGGAACTCAAATAATAATTCCAATACATAACATGAAACTAGTCAACATTGTTGACCAATACAGTGACTATATATATATATAAGAACTTCCATTAATCAATACAAACTCAATCAATATGTATAACTATACATTGCTTACATATAAATCAGAAAGATAAATTTTCATCGTGAGCTAATCACACCATCACAGCATTTATCGTACTATATAAATGTTTATATATATATATATATATATATATCCGTATAAAGTTTTCCAGGAAAGCTGTGTCTAGTTGCCGACTCCGGGACTTGGGCTGGACCCCAAAATCCGATCAATGCGGGAAAAGTGTTGAGAGAGGAGCTTTTCATAGATGACCATTGCGGGAGCTTTACCACTTGGGGAAGAAGGTGGGACGGCAGTGCCCTTGGGAAGGGCAGTTAGGACCAAAGCGTCCTCCAGAGATGGTACTGTCCTCCTCCTCTCAATGCTCATGAGCTTCCTTGCTTCTAAAGATGGCACATAACAGATTAAAACTAGAACGCAAAAGAGCCCAAGTGTGCTTAAGCGAGCCATGTAGAATGATATAAGAGAGGAAACAAAGAGAGTACTGAGGCTTAAGGGAAATGAGGTAAATTAAGCTCGTGTTGTCTACAATGGCTGGGATGTGATATGCTTATATAGCAATGCCATATATATATATATATATAGAGAGAGAGAGAGAGAGAGAGAGGCGTAAAGGTCAAGTTAGTCGGCTGAGTCAAGATGTTTGAAACTAGAGAAAATATTTTGGTTCTGATTTTACAAGCGTGAATTAGAAATGCCTCGTGGCATTAAATTGGGTAGGCACACATGAACTAAGCCGCCGGCCCATGTTTCTTGGCAATTTCTGCCGCTGTCCTTACTCCCTCCTGCACTTATATTGCATCTAAAAGCACTAAATCGGAGTCCTAAAGTTAAAAGTTATATTGATTTGGTACTCTCAAATATAGTTATATATATATATATATTTTTTAGATGGTGGTACTAATATACACATGCCTCCATGGAGATTTAAACCCTGACCTCCCTTTGAAAAGTAAAGGTCTGATACCGTTGAGTCACTGACCTATTGATTAGTTAAAAAACTCTTCATTTGTGAATCTTCAATATCAATATCGTTTTAACTAAATTTGTGATTACGAAATTTTATAGTTAGATTTCATAATAAATTTGCATGTAATGTGTCTTCTGTGTCATCTAAGTGAGACCCATCTATGTTTAGTCACAATATAGGTAGATTACATGTGTCCGGCATTAATTTCGTCCTTATAATTAAAGTCGGATTCGGATTTTATAGCAATTTGATATTAAAACACAAATTTGAATACTAATTTGTATGTATTCACTCTAATCAAACTCCGTTTACTGTGCAATTTGAAGGTTGGGACGGCAAGGAAACCAGGCAAGGGCACATATCAAATACAGTCTGCTACTGTTGTAATATTCATCAACTTTACGAAAAAAAATTCTTTACTCAAAACATGTGGAAATATGAATACTTTTAGTGATGAATTGCCTGAATTTCAATGGTGATTTGGGTCGGTGTTTATAGCGACTGCACTGATACGGCCAAAAAACAAAGGTTATGAAAACGACCCATCAGAAGCACACACCCTTAACTAGTGAATTACATACTGACAAGGTTATGAAAACGACCCATCAGAAGCACACACCCTTAACTAGTTAATTACATACTGACCTGATACATATTTTAGTCAATATATTATTTTTATAATATTTCAAAAAAATAAAAAATAATAATTATAGTGGGTGTTTCATTTAGTCAAACAAATCCCTTTTCTTTTGTGTTACTGTCGCATATAATATACAAATTCGTATTAATTATCACTTGTTTGGAAATTATGGGTTTAAAAGATGAACAATTTAAAAAGTTGCCAATGGAAAGAGAAAGACTTTAACATTTGTAAATTAAGTCACATAGAATGTGAGTGAAATTGTGGAGTGTAAAAGTGGGAGCGACTACTCGCTTAGAAGTAGCGTAACGTATCGTAAGAGTTCTTACATTAGTTTTCTTACAAGTGGAAAACTAGGATTGGATATGATAGTTTTTTTTCGTATCAGAAAATATCGTGACAAAAAAAAAAAACTGTTTTGTGGTTGACTTTAGTATAATTAATGCAATGCTGGTTCAGCACAAGAGGATAGGACAATGGAAGCAGACAAAAGAGGCATTGATAAGTCAACCATGATAACAAGTCAGATTACTTACTATATTAAGCGATCAATAATAGGTTCAATATCATAGTAGAATGGAAGAACAATTCTATATAACAGGGACTGCAGAACTAAGATTTTGCCCCTGAAAAGGCCAGTGCAACTAAGATTTGGCTTGATATAATTAAACAAAATTGGAATCCTATGGAGAGCATCTTCTGTTTACCAGTATAGAAAAGCAATATTGGACCACTCCCAAGGCGGCTGGTCCGTGACATGGATGTCCTAACAAAAGCTTATAACCAAAGCCATTTTAGTAATGCATGTTGAATTAGTAGATACAGATGTACCTGCTGTCCAACCGGATTTAGCCGGCCTGCACAGGATGCCTCAACCCCAAATCCATTTTGCACACAGCACTAGCAGCCTCAAGCATTTACCAGATCCATTTTGCACACAGCAGCCTCAAGCATTTCCCAGATCCATTTTGCAGACAGCAGCCAAGGCCCACCTGAACTGTGTTCGCTTTCGTAGCTTTCAACCATGTTTTTACCTAAAAATAGCCGATCTTAAGCCCGGTTTACCTGCTTATAATACAACAACGAACTGTGTAATAATGATAATAAAACAAATAGTACAGCAAGGAGGAAAATTGATTATGACAAAAAGAAATCACAATACAAACCATGTACATGCCTCCAACCATGGAATCACAACATTTTTATTGGTAGAGTACCATCTCTACTCCAAGTTATATACATGACACAAGATAGGTTTGGAGTTGCCTCCCATTTCCCAATATGGGTTAGAGAAGCAAGTGCCAAGGCTGTGCGAAGCCGCCTATCAAACTTTCCCGTGCTCCTGTTGAGGACAATAATTCTCATCTTCTGCCTAGATTGAAACTCAGAACAGTGTCTAGATAAGATAGCCAATGAAATGCAACATGTCACATAGTTAATTCCTTCCATTAACAGTGAGAATGGTGCCATAAGAATTGATCTGAAATTTATTACAAGGCGTTGTAAACATTGCTGCACATGTAATGAACATGTATGTACTAAAAACTAAGAAAAAGTTGACATTTCTAATGTAAATGATTCAGTAGATTTTAATAAAATTATTGAATTGTAATGTAGAACTATTTGGTCAAAATAATCTCTTCAGAGAAATGCATAATCCTCCCATTACAATTTTTTTTATACAAAAAAGCTTACAACATCACATACTTGTCACCAAGATCCTCTAACCAGATTGATGCCACTGCAAGAGCTGAAACAAGTGGATTGGTTTCACCATGAGTTTGTGAATGGCAGATAGTTAAGAAGCTACCTCGGTGACAGGTTCAAAATATACTAGACCCTCTAAAGCCTTTGCTGCTGTTGACACAGATGGCCTTCCATACTATAGTCATGAGATGGCACAACACATCTTTATGGCATAACAATTAGATAGACACCTGAGAGGAGTCCAAATTCTTCTGCGCTCGAGATTTCCAGGATCTCAACACCAAAGCTGTAAGTATCATTGCCCTTCATCAATTGGGAATAGACCCTGAACTTCCCTTTGATACAGTCTGTAACCGCGACTTCAAATTCTACTCAATCAATTTCACTTGTACAAAATCAGAAACTCAGATGTCCAAAACCCCAATTAGGGGATATTATGGGCCTCAATATTAAACTGAAGTACATTTGTACCGAAATGCACATGAAGATTTTAGATTCCCTTAGCTAAGCAAGGATTTCTTCCACCTAGTCTCCCAACTAAGTGTTGGTGCTTCTTTGGTGAACCATCAATTTAGACAAAGACCCCTTACACATGTAGTCACAAAGGAGGAGCCTAATCAAAATCTCACCAAAATGCCCAATCAAATTTAGTAGATTAAAATGGTGAAGGCTGCCTAAGGTCATTGACCATGCTAGAAATTATTCCTTTCCCTTGTGTTACATTAGAACCCAAGTGTTCCATGAATTCATCCCATTTCCCAAAATTCATCTCCTTTTTCGTCTTCTACATTCTACAACCCTTTATCCTGACAATGTTCTTTTCTGGAATGGTACATAAAAATAGCATGCTCTAGTAATAGTAAGGCCAGCAGAAAGAGAAGGTGCTAACTTCAAATAAAAGATTATTCCTTTGTATGTGGTCTTGAAGTAATAGCCAGTAATTTATGTAACTCTGATGGATCATGTATCGGACTATCAGCACCACATTCTCCTGTGGTTCCAAAGGTGCTTCACTCAAGAACATCACCATGTCTAAGTCTATAGCACCCAAATTTCAAGCAGCAAGAACATAAGGATAGGTTTAAAGATGCATACCAATGCATGATAATGAACTTCAACACAGTAAAAGTCTGCCAATAGCTATACACAACCAACTTAATCTAATTGGCAGATCACCACTTTATGCCATTAACAAAGTATCAAAAAGCTCAGAGGCATTGGGCATCTTATCTTTCTTGCACACTGCAGGGATCACAATCCTCCATGTACCAACATCAAGAAAACTTCCTTCTGCCAAACTATCTAAAACTCTGAAGAACAACTTCATATCCCCTTCTTGAAACAACCTATGCGCAAATTTATTTATACTTTCAGCACGAGGAGCATAACCTTTGAAAATCATCTCCTCCAAAATAACTGCCGCTTCCTTGAACTGCATCCCACTGCATAGCGCATCAAAGAGCATCCTGTAGGTTACTACATCTGGAGCACACCTCCGCCTCGGCATATCTTCAAACAATTCATTTGCTTCTCTCAGTTTCTCCTCCCTACAAAACCCACCAATAATTATATTATAACTAATGACATCCGGTTTACACCCCTTCTCCTCCATCTCATTTAGAACACCAAAAGCTGAATCAAAATCCTTCTCTTTACAGAACCCATAGATCAATGCATTATAAGTTACAGTATCAAGTTTGCACCCATTTTTCTTCATCTCCTCCAACATCTCAAAAGCCTCCCCCTTCCGACCAACCTTGAAAAGCGCACTGATTAAAGTGGAATAAATCATCGAATCCAAGTCTAGTTTATTTTCCAACATCTCATCCTTAAGCTTAAAAGCCGAACTCCACTCATTTACCTTGCAGAGCCCTTTAATTAGTGATGCATAAACAGAAGCACTGGGTTTGACATCGAAAACTCTCACCATGTCCTCTTTCAACCTAAAAGCTTCATCTAACTTTGAATTTTCACAAAGCGCCTTTATCAAAGTCCCAAACGTCACCGCATTGGGCAAAATCCCCTTTTTACGCATTTCATCGAACACATTCCGGGCATTATCCAAATCATTACTCGAACAACAAGCGTGAATCAATATATTATAAGTACACGCATCTGGGGCTGCATATTCATCAATACCCACAAAAAATTCTCTCATTTTCCCAATTTCTCTACATACTAGGAGAGCATTCAAGAGGGTGTTAAAAGATTTTATGGTTCTTTTGCATCGAAAAGACGTCATTCGATCAAAGGTTTGGAGAGCTCGGTCTACCAAGCGAGCACGGCCATAAAAGGTTATGATGTTGCAGAAAATTATTTCTTTAGGAACGAACCGAGTCTCAAGCTTCAATTGTTCGATTATTTGTTCCATTTCGTCGAACATCTTGGCTCGGCCGAGCTTGGTGATGATAAGGTCGTAGGAGAGGAGAGAGTAACGGAAGGGTTTGGGTTTGGGATTAGGGTTAGGGTTTGGATTGGGGTTGGGGTTTAGGAAGAGTTGGAGGGCCAATTTGGGGTCTTTCTCGAGGCGGAGGAGAGTTGGGAGTCTGAAAGGTGAGACCTTCTTTAGTTTCTCCATTTTTCTTTCCAACCGTAAGTTTGTGATTTGATTTTAACAGGAGGGAAGAGAAAAGAACTTCAGCAGTGTTTGGATAAATAAAATGCAGAAAAAAGGAAAATATAATGCCAGGTGTGTGTGTGTGTATATATGGAGACTTATGGACAGAAAATGGATAATTGAAGGAAGGAAAAAAAATTACTGACATACTGTATTGTATTATATTAAATTATTGAAATAAATCCAAGTTCTTTATTAGTAGTACTTAGTAAGAATTAATAATATTATTTGACTCCTTTTAAAACTTGGCACTTCAAAATTCACCAAAGGCATTAATTTATTGGACTATTGAGGCATGTGCTTCTACCGTTTTAAACCAAACATGAAATAAAAATATATGTTCTTCGTCTATTTTGATTTAAGAAGTACGAACACATATATAAATATAAATAGATACGAGTACGGTGATACTAAGTCATTAAAGATATGATAATAAAAAGTTAAATTTATATTTTAAATATATAATAAATTAATTGTTGGTCAATTTTTTATAATATTATGAATCTATATATAATCATTAATATATTATAAATAAAGAAGCGACTAAATATAACATAGGAATATATTTTACAAGGTAAGAAGTTTTAGAAGTTAGATTAGTAGATGCAGAGTTTTGAAATTTGACACTCCAAAATTTACCGAAGTCACTAACCCATAATGCGTTATTGAGACATCTGCACAATATATATCTCAATACTTCTTTTTAAAATAAAATTTTAACTTTTCTAAAAATTATAAAATGGTATTATTGTTGTAAAGGTTATATTTTAATATTCGAAACTTGTTAAAAATATGTTTTGAAGTATATGAGAAATATATCAAAGTATTTTAATACGTGTTAGAACTAAAAATATATATTTTTAAAGATATGTACTTGCGAATATATTTATATTTTTTTATCATTGACAATAAACTCACACACCCCACTTTGCTCCTTTAAAGATTCAAACATTCACCATTCATTTAGTGTACTTGCGAATATTCAAGAGTGATATTATCTCATAAAGATACGATACGGATATCTCACTCGTAGGGGTGCAACTTAGGCGGGCTAGCCCAGCCCTGCTCGAACTCAGCACAAAAATTTTATAATTTAGGTTTTTAAATTCACAAATCGGACTGAGTTTTATCAAAACCCAATCTTATTCGGATTGGACTGGGTTTAATCCGAACCCAATCCAAAACCCCCGATTAAACAATCTGAGCCCATAGACACCCACATCTTATTTTGTTTTTTTTTTAATTTCTTCTAACTTGTTAATATATATTTTATTTTGTAATTCATTTTTATTGTTATTATATATTTTATTGCTTAGAGTTAATTAATATTATTTATATTATTATAGAAAAAAAAAAAAGTTGACCCATAAAACCCGCCCCTATTAGGACAATGGGACTGATAAAAGTATAATTTGTATATTGAGTCATTTTAGTGTTCTTTTTATATATTTTAAGGACTTTGGATTTATATAATCTTAGTAACATTTGGAGTCTATAATACATAGAAAGTTAAAATAGAACAGTAAAAATATAAATATATATTTTTCATTTATAAACTAATATAGTAAGATATTTACTAAAAGAAAAATGGCAAGTATTAATGAATTAAAGAAAAATGGAAAGTATTAATGAATTAAAAAATAAAATTTTTAAAATTTTGATGTTTACAAACATGAAAAAAAAAAAAAATGTAATTAAATATAAAAAAAGGAAAATGTAATTTGCATATTTATAAAATAAAATAAAATAAAATAAAAGATGACACATTAAAACTGTCCAACCCATCCAAATATTTTGGTGCGAATTATGGATATAACTCATTTTTTAATAGACTTCGAACTACCCAACCCAACTCAATTTCAAGTTAAAGTTGGATTGAGAGTTGCCCAACTTGCAGCCCTAGGGCCACTACCCACTCGTATATTCTGATTCATCGCACCTATGCCAAGTTGAGACTTAGTTGGAGTAGTACAAGGAGATGTTCATATTTAGAAGTGGCTGATTGTTTTAAGTCAATTCTGATTATCTCCTGCCGGCAAAAAATAAATAAGAAAAGAAAAAGGGCAAAAAAAAAAAAAAATGGGGAGAGGAGATTAGGGATGGTCTCTCCACTCCTTGTATGGTGGACAAATTGTTCTTTCATTTTCGTCCTCTTTCCGGTCATTGGAAACGTGGGCTGCTGGTGGGGCTATATGCCCATTCCCCCTCTTCTTCCGCTTTGCAACCGGAATAAAGAATCTTAGAATTCACCCTAGCTATTATATTTACTCAGGCTCCGTTCATTTTGAAGTAAAATAAATTTTTTGTAAAATAAATTTTTATATTTTTGATGTTTGAAAAAGGCCGGCGTTGAGATTATTTTATATTTTTATTTTTATTTTTTCAGTGTTTAAAAAAGGTCGGGGTTGAGATTAAGGATGAGTTCATTGGGTGAGATCTAAATCACACGGAGCGAAAGCGTCAAAGTTTAAATTTTTTGAAAGCCCGAGCGTATTGAGAGTGTCTGTATATTAGATTTAAATAAAATTATATCAGGTCATGACATATATATTTTATATTTTTTTATTTATTTAAATCCATATGCAAATTTATTCATGATTATTTATTCCA